AAAAATCCCGATTTTCGACTAAGAAAAAATGTCGTAGTATGCCCTGAAACTTTAATAAACATTTCAAATGTTGTCCCAAGGTAGACCTTTTAGTGCTTGACATTAAAAAAAAATTATTAAAATTGATTTGCAACTTCAAATTTTAGGGGGGTGTTTCCATTAAAAATGGGTCATATATATGACAAATCAAAACAAAACAAGACCTAACATTCAATATACTACACAATACAAAACCCATTCTTAGAAACAATGCACTTAGAGAAACACCAACACAAAGGATGTAACCCAAGTACAGGCAAATTCAAAGAGACATCCGGATGAAAGGAGAGGACAAAAATCTAACCGTATAAAAGAACAAACAAGAAGATAAAACGTTCAGTTTGAGTAGAGCCTTGAAGATGATCCCACTTGCCATGTTCATGTGCTCTGCTTGGTAGCAGAACATGAAACTGAAGTCTCTCACATGATAGTTATCTTCATATCAACCAGGTTGGAGTCTGGCTCCCTCAGCTTTCCAACGTGTATTCTTCTGAAGGACAAATGTTTCATAACTAGATGTGGTTGGCTGCGAAATAAAGGTGCATAACGGAGGTGTTTGGTGAACATACAGTTTACTTTCTACGGACGTCATGGGGCCTCCACCCAGCTGAGTGACAGGACCTTTTAAGTCGGGAGGAGTCGTCTGTAGCATAATCTGCAGCTTCCCTTACTAATGGGTTTTTATGAGTTTTTGGTGATGCGAAAACTCTGATTGCTCGACTGATCTCTGCGAATGGCTTCATTCCGTAACATCTTATTTTGCAATATTTCCAAAATTGAAAGATAAGTCAGAGCGGTTTGTCCCCAAGCGCCTGAAGCCTACATGATGACAGGCTTGAACATCGTTTTTTACAGCAATACCTCATTCTTAAGGTTGAGCCTTGACTTTCTGTTGATCAAATGATAGAGCTTAGCTATCCTCTTTTGAATTTTGCTTTTGATGAACTCAACGTGGTGCGCCCAGGTATGACCACACCCATGAAACCCAACCAGCGGAAAATGCTACCCAAGAGGAAATAACAAGAAAGGAAGAGACTCAAATAATTCAGGAAAAACAAAGAAAACAAAGAGAGAAGAGTCAGACTTGGAATTTGAGAAGACTTTAGGAACCAGCAATGGTAATGATATGCATGACCAACATACTACACCTAGAATCAATGACTGGGTTGTAGTTGAATTTGCAGCCAAGAAGAAAGTGTTGCATTACGTAGGTTAAGTTATGGATATTGAAGCTGGTGAACCAAGAGTAAAATTCACACGAGTAAAAGAGACACATGAAGATACCACAGTTTTTTTTTTGAGAGAGCCGGAAGGTCATTTATTGAAAATGAAGATGTGGTAGAAAAACCTGCTGAACCTGATTTCGGAAGGAGAGGAGAACTGATTTTCAACTCAACTTTTGAATATTATTATATTCAATAATTCCATACAAGAAACTGAAAAAATTTATGGAATGTTAAAAATGTGAAGTTTTTTCAATAAACGGTGTATTAAACATATGTATTATGTATATTTTTTAAAAACTTTAACATTGTTGACTTCATGAAGTTTCACTAGCTTTGTCAATAAGGATTTCTTGGACAATAAAGCATGATTGATTCGTTTATTGATTGATATTTATGAAAAGATTCAAACATGGAGTGAAAAATATGAATTTCATTTTCAAAGAAAATTCTCTCAACATGTCACAACCAAAGCTGTTTGATTTGAAACTATGATATCATTAAAATGGCAATTACCAGAATATTTTTTAAAAAACTTGATTTTTTAAAACACGGCAATTCTAATAAATACATGAGATAGTGAGGTTACTGGTCACAGATCAATACCAGAAACAATTTTGAAATCTTGGAAGAAGAAACTCCTAAGACATTGATGACATTTACCCAATATAAGAAAGAGAGAACCACTCTTCTTTGTCTGCTTAAGCCAACCGACAATTATCATCTCTCAAAGGAATAATGAAACGGTTTGAATGGAATTAAAAAAAAAAGGAAATTTTTGTGTAATAATCTGAATACATTTCAAAATGTATGTCCCGAATTTTCCTACGCTTTTGTGTCGGTAGAGGGATCATTTAAAACTGATTTTAAATTGATTATCCAGTCACTCTAACCAAATAACAAATAGCCATCATGCAAAGTACCTAGATAAATCAATTATTTTTTCAAAGTGCTCTGTTTTATCAGCTGGCTCGACAAAAGAGCCTTTATCAGAACACTCGGAAGCTCTCGTCTGGGAGAAATGCATTTCCTAATGATATTTGGGAGGCAACTTTAAGGTTTTCTCTACGTTTCGAAGTCATCAGGTATAACGAAATACGAAGCTGGTTAGGAATCGCCACTAATTTCAGACGTTTCTGGGCAAACGGTGTAAAAGTTTTTCATATTCGCCTGTGCTTATTCAACACCAAACAAATTATTTGTTTGGTGTTGTTACTAAAAATGAAAATGTTTACAAAGTAAGACATTACCAGTGGCGCGCAGTGTTTTAATTTGAAGAACGGTCATCTACCACTCATTTGGTCCTTCGAGCCGGATGGAAAAACTGCTTTTCGTAATATGCACTCCTGCCAATCCGCTTACTTTGAATTATATGCGGTTTCGGTTAATTATCAACGTTGAATTACAGCTGTGTAATAATTACCTCAATCCGAATTACAATTTACGGATGTATGGAGTAGGCGTCGTCCAATTGGCTCTGCAACGGTACACAAATCATTCATTAGAGCTATGCTTGCGTCATCAGGAATGATTCAATATCACAGGAAAATGCTCCAAGGATGGTGCCTTTGCAAAAATTATGATTGATGTTGGATGTAGCCTTTTAAGGCCTTTGCTAGCTGAAATTTTTCATAGATTACCTATGAAATGCTTTGTTCATTTAGTCAATCGACCGATGTGTTAGTCGATGGTTCAAGCCCCAGGCTGAACGCTCGATTTTTACTTGATATCGTCCAACTAGTGTTAGGAATCACATTTTAAAAGGTAAGACATCGTTAGTTCTTAGCTCGCACAAGTTTCGACTTCTGAGGGTTATCGTTCGTAGGTGTGCGACGACTGTTTAACGGAAAAAACATATTTTAAACATATTTTCAAACAGTGATTGAAATTGTGAGAATGATGCATGAACAGTCCCTGAAAGATAAATAGCATTCAAGAATAATGATAGTTAGATGTTAATTCCATGGATGTCAGTTTTCAGTTCTTCAATTTCTCCAAAATTTCCTTGAATTGAAGAAAACAAATTGGTGTTAACTAAAGTGGCCCTTCCTATACCTGTATAAATTCCTACATTACAAATTTGAATTTTTTTCAGGTACGGAATGGTGAAAGACCACTAAAAAATTGATGAAAAACTTTGATTTCCACCACAAAAAAACTTTTGTTCAATACCTTATCTCAGTGTTTTCTTGTTGTAATCTTGTGACTGGCTTTTCTAACGAATTTGTCAGTAGAAAAAAGGATTTTCCCAGACAAACTCAAGTCTGGGCTCAAAAACCCAGTTTATAAAAAAGGTGACCCCCACTTCACTGAAAACTACAGAGGAATAAGTCTTCTATCAAGTTTTAGCAAGCTTTATGAGTTGAATATAAGAAATCAACTGCTCTCATTCTTAACTATGAGTAAGTTTCTATCTTCAAGTCAGCATGGTTTCACAAATGGCAGAAGTACTAAAACTGCTTTATATAATTTTATATGGTATAAGGGGTGTAGCATTGAATTTAATGAAATCATACTTAACTGATCGATCCCAGAGTGTAATCATCAACACAACTCAGAGCCAATCTCTCATTGTTAAACAGGGAGTTCCCCAAGGCTCAATTCTTGGACCTCTGTTATTTTTAATCTATGCTAATGATCTCATTAATTTCCTTCTTGACATCTCTAAAGTCCAAGTAATATATGCTGATGACACAAATCTAATCATAACTGGCGAAGATGCTACTGAACTTGTGATAACATCAGAAATGGTATACAATAAAGTAATGGAGTGGTCCGAAATAAATCATCTAATGGTAAATGCATGCTGCGCATGCCTAAGTTCGTATATTCTGATTCTGCAGCGATACAGCAACATAGTACTGGTATTTTATAAAGATGTTTTTCTACACCCGTACTTTAACAATACACTTATGTGACCATAATCCGTTTCATAATGATATCCATTATGATACAGATTTTTCATAACGATACAGATTATCAACCAATAGAAACCCATAATTTTTCAATCAAGAATCCTGTTACTTTGTTTGTCCTAGATTCTAACCTAAGTAACTAATTGCTTTATTTGTCA